AAGATAGAATGCTAAGCACTGCCCAGCAGCCACCAGAAGCCAGGGGAGTGGCCTGAGACAGATTATCCTTCAGAGCTTCCAGAAAGAACTGACCCTACCCACACCTTGATTTTGGATTTCTGATCTCTAGAAGTATGAGAGAATAAATTTCTGTTGTTCAAAGACAATAAATTTGTGGTGATTTATGGCAGAAACCAGAGGAAATGGATACAAATAGTCTCCTTTGCTCCTTCTTTTCTTTATCTCTGTCAAAAATTCAGTCTTAGATGGAACTAACAGTTTGCTTTGTCCATTACCACTGAAAAGTATATGTAGATTCATTTTTATCATCTAAAATTGACTTAAACACTGCAAGTTCCCCTTCTCCCTGCCCCATTAGGAGCTGACCTCACTTACAAACTAGAAAAGCTCAGGCATCAGAAAAGGTCATTCCCAACTTGCAACGTACCCACCCCTGCAGCCAGCCCCTCTGCTTCCCTCCTATTTTAGTGGAGGAAGTGTTCATCAATTTTTCTGATGCTGACCCTGCTGGGTTTTATTTTTTTGCCTGCATTCTATATTTCCTCCCCATTTGTCACTCTAACATGCATATACAAATTACCCAAACTTTACATATCTGGTCCTCTCCTTTGTATTCCATATCCAATTGCTGACTTTGGTTATCACAAAGTCCACTCAAATATACACCTAAAATTGGAAAATCTCCCTGCCCACTCTGATCCACTCCTTCAAACCTCTCACTCTTCCACAGTACTCAGCTAAGGTAAGGCCACCATATACTCTAAACCAACACTAGAATGTCAAACTTGACACATCTCTCTCTCTCCTTCCTATATTCTATTCGTCTGTAAGTCCTATCACTTCTTCCTTATACTGTCTCCCAAATCGTCCATTTCTATCACCAAATATTAGCCCAAGCGACCACTGTCTGAACTGCAGTTTCCTAACTGGTCTTTCTGTAATCACTCATGCTCATGTCTAATTTGTTTTATAGGCTGTAAACCCAATAAGGTCTTTAAGTGCCTCTCCAGCTTCAGCCCACACTGCATTCCCAGTTCTCCATTTTCAGACTTTCCTGGTTTTCCTAGACCTTTCATCTCTGTTTCTTCTACCACAGGGCCTTTGCACATGCTGTTTCTAGCTGGAGTTCCAATTTTCTAAATTCCTACCCTTACCAAAGATCCTAGCTCAAACTCCTCTCTCAGAGGAATGTTTTCCCTGATCTCTCAGATTTAGTCAAGTACTTTTCCTTCATTGTCCTTATCTCATCTGTGATCTTACCTCTGTTCTTGTGATTTGATGGCCTGTCTCTTCACTACACTGTGTATACCACAGAGTCACCAAAAAAGTCCTGGGTTTGCTCATAATTATATTTCCAGCACCAGGTTCAGCAAAAGTTTTTTTTTTTTTTTTGTTCCTGCTCTAGGCCCTATGTATACAGAAAAACTTAGAAGCAAACGGAACTTTGGCACACTGTAGATTTCAGGGGCCAATCCTTCAGCTTATGATTTTCTTTCAAGAGGAAATAAAAGCATAACTCAGTGGCATCTTCACAGTTTATTCCTGCCAGTTCTACTTTTCTATAAATACAGTCCTCATTTTCAAGGAATTTGGATAAGATGGTTGCAGTTGACTATTTTGGGGAGGTACTGTCTGTTCTATTTTGGAGGGAATGTTGTCATCTGTCTTCATTCCTGGGGCAGGTGTAGAAATGAGTTGTGGACACCAGTTGCTGATTCCACATAAAAACTTGGGCATGTAAGGTAACTGCTTTGCAGGTTCTGGGTAGGGCCTCTGAGGACAGGCTAAAAAATATGGCACCATCATTCCCTGAATACCCATATGTTGTGTTCTAACCATTACTGCTTTCTCCCCTCTGTAATTTGATATAGGGATGATTCTGAGGGGAATTGTTTGCCTTGTGGTATTTTCAGCACCATCCAGAGCTCAGTCTCTGGTCTTAATACTGAAGGTCCTTAAGGACACTGGTCTTGATCTTGTATGGGAAGGATATATGAGCAGCAGGAGACATGATATTCTATAACTGAAAAAATCATGCAATTTCTGGTGCCAAAATTGAGTAACACATTGAGATCTTAATTTTTCAGTGTACTTTTCTTACAACTATATACAAAATTATAAAGCAAGACAACATATATAACTTACAAAGCAGTATCTCTAGGTGTACTTTTGGTAACATATACACAGACACACACATCCCACAACTTGGGATACAGGAAAACTATGGTAGTTAACTATGGCAAACATAAATAGAACTCACTTTGGAAATAATAACAGGTCAAGTATACACTGGTTAATGCCCTCTTGTATGTTAAAAATGTACAAAATCTAAATGCAAATATGTAACAAATTTAATATATGAATGTACAGTTTACATTTAAAAATTATAGACATAATTGTATATATGGAAAGACATTCCATATACATACACATAAGCACAACATTTAAAATTGGCCAACGAATTAACATTCCCACAATTAATCAATTCTCTTGTATATTCATTATTTGACTCTTATGCACACATAGGAAAGTTTATACTTCAAAGTATTACTTAAACATACATATAATTATTTGTGTTGAATATCTTCATGTTGTCTCCCCCCACCCCGCACCACCACTTGGAATAACATCTAGAACAGAAAGTCTCTACTCTCCAAAGAACAAGGAATAATATTTCTAGATCCAGTTAATAACAAAGGATAATACGGTGTAAACCACTGATTGGGAAAAAAAAATACTAAAACAATGAGAATAGAATCAGCTATATCATGTACCCATCCATCTATCATGATATAAAGATATTTTATAGTGTATCTTCTATCTTCTCTAATAAAGGAGCTGAATGTCTCTCTAAAAAAATAATTACATACAAATATCACATTCAGCTGCCAAATTAATCATTTGGCCATGGAGATCATAAGAATAGTTAATGACAAGAATGATTAAAGTTGCAATTTTACCTGTCACAAGTTTTAATTCTTCCTCCCAAAAGAGTTTTAAATGAATAATTTTAAAGATTTTTTAATGATGCACAAATAATTTAATGCCACTGTATCTGCATCTTCCAAAGGACACATTTTTCACCTTCTCAAAGAAATCAACATAGTTGCTGATCTGGTGACTTGTCCTCTGAGAAGCATCAGGGCTTTGCCTTTGGTCTTTCCAAATGGACTAAACAAAACTCTGGTTTTCTAGCAGGAAATGCATCTACCACACCATCTTTCAGAGATTTGTGTTAGTAAGTGGCAATTATTTAAATGTATGTTTATATGATTATAAACCATTTTACATAGCAAATCAGGAAGACCATTGCAAGGGATAGTCTGGAATTGGCTCTTTTCTTCTTCAGTGCTTACAAAATACACCCTTTTTCTTCCTTGTTCATGAGTCTTACACCTAATTTTGTCAAAAAAATATATATATTACGTTTACATTCTTCCTCTCTGAGGCAATGATCTAAGTGCCCTTTTCTGTTTCACTACACGGGGGATTCAGAGGAGTCATCACTTTGGAGTTTCGCTTGTACAAAAATCTCTCAATAGTGTTTAGGAATGCATGAATGACCTGCATGTTTTATTACACTCTAACAAATCTGTACAATGACTGAGAGAGTGGAGAATGCAGTCAAGGCGAACGGACTCAGTTGGATGGGTGGCAATTAAGGGGCACATGGAATGCAAAGGTTGCTCCTCATCTCAGGAATTAACTAATTATAGCCACAGAACACTGAGGCTTCCATCTAAGAAAGAATCAAAAACATGAACTGGGGTTGTCTATCATGAAAACCATTTAAGATTTCAAGACTTTTTGTAACACTCTGATGTTTATTGATCTCTTTCATTCTCCAAAGTAATTAGCATTAAAAATCTCAGATCCATGGACAAGTATTCAGCTATAAGAAGCAGATCGTCCTGTAGGTCATGGGGTTGAGCAAGAGGGGGAAAGGACCAAGAAAGAGAGGAAGTGATGATCCTGAGAAAGAGGGCTGAGGTGATCAGAATGCAGGGGGAGAAGGAAATGAAAGCCGTGGAGTAGACCTGGGAAATGGCCAGGGCACACAATTAGGGAAAATCAAAACAGAACAAACAAAAATGACCTACATAGTTCTTCTATCATCTCACCCTAAACCCCCCAGTGTGGAATCTGAACTTTGTTTCCTTCCCTATATAATTCCCTCTGCAGAGTCTTATATTAAAAATATCCATGTGGTGTGCCATGTCAAAAATTCACAAATACTTAGTTATTACGGTACTATTCTTACCCTATTTTATAGATAAGAAAACTGAAGAACAGATTTAGATAAATTGAGCAAGTTATGTCACTATCACATAGGAGAGCTGGGACTTGAACCCACGCTCCAAGCAGTCTGACTCCAGAGTCTATTCTCTTCATCCCTCAGCTCCACTGATTTTCCCGAAATTCCTTTGCTATCCATCAGGCCATGAACTGTGTAGTTATCTTTGTCATTACAATGATGCTTCAGTTCCATTCTCCGGTATTTTCCCCGCCATGTCCGAGAATCATTTACTCAAGAATTTTCCTCCATGAAACAACCTATTATCTGCCCAACAAACACATGTAATTTATTTTCTGCTGTATGTTAATTTTTATAAGAACAGTGAAAGCAAAGATGAGTACCCAAAAATGGATTGTCAATACTTAAATGAAACCATTCAATTATAGAAAATATGTATTTCTTAGTTCAGATATTTAGAGGTAAAAAAAAAAAGTGGAAGTCCCTCAATTAAAACAAAACAAACCAAAACAAGACACCAAGACACAAGAAAATGCCTAGCATCTAAAAGTCATTCTCAGTCATACTGAAGAATTACTAAACATAAGGATCGTTCTAATGGATAATTTTTTCCTTTGGTATAAACAGCCTGCAGTAATTAATTAGTTAATTAGTAGTCAGTAATTAACACAGAGTTGAAGTCAACCAATACACAATGAGAAATGAAGAAAAAAATAAATCTTACCTGCAGACGTGTGTTTGAACTTTTCGCTTTTCTTCTTCCTCCATTTCCAAGGCTTGAAAATCCTTCCCAGGTTGGCAAACTTACTTCTCCTCCGGATGGGTGGGGTGTGGGTACCTGGGACGAGAGAATCAGAACGCATCCCCGCCAGTCTCTCCACTTCCTCAGCTTGTTTTTCCGCAAGAAAGAAATGGAAATAAAGAGAGGAGAGAGAGAAAGAAAAAAAAAGTGTTAAAACGGGAGCCTCACAGATGGTTAACGTTTGCCATGGTTACAGATAACAGAAACCACATGACTAAAGTTCCATTTCTCTTTCTGCTTTTTGGAGTAGAAGTCATACCAACGTGTTCCAGGGGCCAGGGACAGCCAGACCTAGGCTTGGACACTCCAACCAAATTTGCCCAACCTTAACTGAGACTTGGGCAGGAAGAGAAGCTGGTGGTGGAGGAGGAGAGCAGGCACATCAGAGATGCCCTAATGAGGTAGGGAGAGGGCACCAGAAATCACAGGCAGTGGAACTATTGGTCCAGTAATTTCTCAAATAAGACTTGGCAGATACAATCAACTATAACATCGACTGCTGAGAAAGAGGAAGGAGAAAACATTTATCAACTGTCTACTCCAGTGCCAGCATCTCCACCACCCACAGCTCTCTTCCCTACTCCCCTGTTCCATCCAGGCCCACAGAAGCACTGGACCCTGCATAGTGAGTGGCTCCACCTTAGGGCTACTGACCAATTTCAGAAACATTCATGTCATTAGAGCTTATAATTGGCTTGATACTTCTAGTTTTTTTTTTGTTGTTGTTGTTCTTGGTCTTTTAATAATAATAATAGAAATCATCATCATCATTATCATGAGATTAAGAGCTGAAGGGGGCTTTAGAGCCTATCGAGACTAACTCCTATAAGGACACTTGAGAACACTAAGCCATTCAGACCTGTAAATCCCTAATGGACCACCTTTACAGAACATGATCACCTTCACCTTTTTTTTTTATCACTAGGAATAAAACAAACTCTTTTCCAACTTACAACAACATTTCCATATGCCAGTGAGGTAAATATACCCTATTTCTTGAATTTTTAAGACAGGCATAAAAAAGAAAAAAAAAAAAAAAAACCTCCTTGGCAAAATTAAGAGAGAAAGTCGAATTTACTCTAGCACTGTGTAGGATCCAAAATCACTCTTTAAACACATTCCTTAAGAAAAACCCTGGCCTTCTCCAACTCAGGCTGTCCTGGGCAGCTCAGCCTTGCAGCATAATAGTCTGTATGCTCTTGTCTGAAACAGTTTTCTCAGGAAACTCGTTCATTCAACAAAAATATATGAAAATCACCATGTGCCAGGCATTTTGATGACCTGGTAAAGGCACCGGGCAGCAAGACTGAATGGAAGTGTGTGGATTTGAGATCGTGGAAGCCAAGTCAATGGGACTTGGTGACTGATTGGGTGGTCTGAGGTAGAGGAGGAAGATCATTTCTGTTGTCTGTATTCACGTCAGTGGAAATGGGGCTGTGGGGGTGGGGAGGCACAGGCTCGAGGGTGATGGCCGCAACAATCTGGACGTGCTGCATGTCCAGCTGAAACCTGGACGACATGGTTCAATGCACTCGTAGTTCCACTTTTCAATCACTGTACTAAGTAACCACTTAATTCTGTGGCAGACACTGTGATCATTTCTGGGGCCAGGGAGGTACACAATATTGGACATCATTAAACACAAGTTTAGAAGCCGAGACAGGGGGTTGGAGGGGAGAACAGTGTCACAACAGGGGCAACTACATAAAATTCAATGGAGGCAAAGAGCAGGGAGCAACTAATTGTGCTGGGTGGTGTTGGTGAAGATCCCAGGGGAGGGAACTTTTAACTAAGTTGTAAAAGAGGAGGATACATTTTTCTTCCCACATGGGGGGACTAGGGGATGTGGATCCTGGAAGGAGAAACAGAACACATAGAAACAGAGGGCTGAAAGAGTAGAGGAGTCTGCTGTTCTCTGAAATTTTCAATGGCTTCCTACAACTTACAGGAGAAACTGTAATATCTTGCCTTGGTTTTCAAGCACCTCCACCTAAGTGAGAGGCTAGAATTATCTTCTGGTCCCTTTCTAAACACACTGCAGCCAAGATGACAGCCTCCACAGTCTCACCCTAGGCTCTGACGGCCTTGTGGGGACCATAGAGCACTGATCATACGCAAAATGTCATGTGTGTTTGGGTATCTGCATTGGCTGAATTTCCATCTTTCTTTTGATTCTCCAAACAATCTAAGGCACAAAAAATATGCAGTTCAAGGCTTCTCTAAATTCAGTCAACATAAAAATCCCCAGCTAAAGGTTAAAGAGAGAAAATATATAGAAACTTATAAAAAATCAAGATATGAGTTATTCATGGGTGATATTAAGTTTTCTCTCAGAGCTGCATTCCTATAACGACTTGTTAAATAAGTGAGTGAATGAAATGAGGATAATTGATTCAGCTCTCTGACACAAATTTTCAGAGGACTAGAAATTAGTTATTACTATTTGTCTTAAGAAAAATGCATCACCAGAAACAAAAAGATGTCTCATAATCATATCTTTAAGAAATGAATAAAAGTTATTCTGAAATTACCACATTAAAATAATTATGAGAAATTAGGACTGCCTTTGAGAAACCTAAACTGGCAGGGAGCTGATGAAGCATTATAAGGGCATAATTATAACTCCATACTTAAATGATTCTTTAGTAAGTATATTATTAAATTCAAGATGTTTGGCCCTTCGTACATTACTATTGAGCAGACTGGATTACTTTCAGTTTAAATGATTTATATTTTAATCATCCACTTTACTTTCCCCCACTTTATTTGGTGATAGGGCTAGCTCTCAAACTGACTGCTTTGCTACTGGAGAATGCAAATGGAAGGCAAAAGAGTGAGAGAAAGGCTCGTTATGAAGACTGAACAGTAAAGAAAACAAAACAGGACTTGGAATTAAAATGGTCTCTGGTCCATGTTAGCGCCATGAGAGAAGAGGGGCTGGAGACAAGTGAGAAAGGCAAGACACACAGAAAAACTGTCTTCTTCTGAAACAGATCATGAAAAGGCTGCTTTGTCCAAGGCCCAGCTCTCAAAGGCGCTCTTTGACTGCTTGGGTGGGACAGTGCTGGAGAAATGGTCACCTACACCTGAATCAGTTCGTTGGAACCACTGCCCAGGAATTCTGGCTACAAAGGCAGGAAGCAGTGTTCCTGAGCCCATCAGAGGCTAAGGGGGAAGGGAGGCCTGGACCAGACGACCTCTGGCCTTTGCAGCACCACTGCACAAAAAATCCTCATCTAAGAGACTGTAGCCTGGGCTCTCTTCCATGATATGATGGGATATGTGGGAAAGGGATGTTTGCAGATAATTTTTCTTGCTCTTTAGAGAAACAGGATAGAAAGTACCTGACATATGCATGATTTCAATCACAGAGAACTTAAATAGTGGTGGGTGTCAGCTTGTGCTCTGAAGCCCACCCCTTGTGGAAGGCCAAGGTTGCTCTTGGTGGATTCTGAGCATGCAGTAAAGAGGTGGTCAAGGGGCATTTTAGCTGGCACTTTTGACATTATATTTCTCATGGTGGTAAGGTTGTCAAAGGCTTATCCCCAAAACACCCCAACTTTAGGTTCTGCTTGCCCAGTCATAAGTTGAACAATGACCCTGAGAGGTTTGGACAAAGGGAAGTCGCACTGTCTGTACTATGTGACGTTCAGTCAACAACAGAGGCAGGAGGCCAGGACACCGTGCCCTCACTACAGGCCTCTCCAGGTGCCAAGTGCTCCTAGGCATTTTGGAGAACCTAAGATTCTCATAGATTGAATGCTTGTCTCTCAACCCAACCCAAAGTGAATTTGAAAACAGAATGCTTATGTAGAAAGATCTGATAATATCCACTTGCCTTTCAGTTTCACTAAAAGGGTTATGTTTTTGTCATATTTCATCATACTAGGGATGGGGTCAACTGTCAGTGAGCTGCCCTCTGCTGCCCAGGGCCTAGACCTGTCACCTTTCTGCATTACATTTTCTTGGAGTTGCAAAATGATGTCACATAGGTACCTAGTCGCTTAGAATGTTCTGGACCGTGGCTTCCATTTCCCCCTTTTAAAAATGCACTTTAGTTTTACAGAGATACCTTATTACAGGGAAATGAAGGATTAGTGTGAATTAGATGGAAGAGAGCAATATTTTTCATTTGTCATTCCATCAGAAGCCCTATCACACTCTCTTACAGAGATCAGAGCTCTTTGAAGAGTTTCTGTCCAATCTAAGACTGATCTAAATTAGCAACAAGGTGTGATTAAAAATAAAAAAAACTTGTGTGACACATTTTCATTCCAATAAAAAGGAGCCCCTGTCCCTGAGGAATGGTAGGGATGAGGATGGGGGAAGGAGAATTGGGCATTGAGGGAGGAAACCATTGGAGAAAATGGAGGCTCTTTTACCCAGAAATGCTGCCTGATTAAGAGAATACATGCGATCCACAAGTAGCTGGGAGATAAAGCAATATTGCCACAATGTTCACAGAGCTACTGAAGGGCGGGTGCAAACATGGACATGTTTGAAAACACCTGGTGTCAACACTACTGAGTACCAGGGTCTGTGGTCTCTCACCGCTTCTCTCTCTGTCCTTCCCTTGACCTTCCACTCTGTGCACTGCACTCTTCTTCCTGTCCCTTACCACTGAGTCACAGATGGATCCAGTCTATATATGAGAACTAAGGCATAAATACATACACTGGCCTAGTATAATAAGAACACACCTGCATTTAATGCAGGGTTTATCCATCTGAGTCCAGAGGCTGGAAAACTGGAGTATTGCAGGTTCTAAAGCAGAGAGAGATGGGAGCTCTGGTGCCCTCAAGCTTCCTGGACACACAGGCTGCCTTCTCTAGCTGGGAATCACTAGAGGGATATCAGTGACACACCATATTCACTTCTGCCATCACACACCATCGTGGCATCTGAGTCTTGCACACTGCCCCTTTGCAGGGATAGGCATATGTTTATATTAAGAGAGTTGCTAAGCAACCTTATTCTACAAGACTATTCTTCATGGAGGAAAAGATATAATGAATGTACCTGTGGGATACAGCCCATGGGGTGGGAGATGGTGGGGGGACAGAGTGAAACTGCATATACCTGGGCCT